CACCATTTTGAAATTCAGTGGCCATCTTGAAAATTCATTTTTGAACAAAGCAACTGTGTCCCTAGCCATCATCATATAAAATTTGAAACAAATCCGTTCACTGGTATTTGAGTTATCAAAGATTATGTTTTTTTAATGAAAAATTGCTATCATTTTGAAATAAAGTGGCCATCTTGAAAATTCTTTGTTGAACATAGTAACTGTGTCCCTAGGCATCATCATATAAAATTTGAACCAAATCCGTTCACTGGTATATGAGTTATCAAAGATTACATTTTACGAAAATTGGCCGCCATCTTGAAATTCAGCTGTCATCTTAAAAATTATTTCTTATTAATACTGTGTCCCTAGGCATAATCATATAAAATTTCAACCAAATCTGTTCACTGGTATTTGAGTTATCAAAGATTACGTTTTTTACGAAAAATTGCCGCCATTTTGAAGTTAAGTGGCCATCTTGAAAATTTTTTGTCAAACATAGCTACTGTGTCCCTAAGCATCATCATATAACATTTGAACCAAATCCATTCACTGTTATTTAAGTTATCAAAGATTACGTATTTTTACGAAAAATGGCCGCCATTTTGAAATTAAGCGGCCATCTTGAAAATCTCTTTTTGTGCGAAACTCCTTTGTCCCTAGGCATCAGCATATAAAATTTGAACCAAATCAGTCAACTTGTATTTGAGTTTTCAACGATTACATTTTTTACAAAAAATGGCAGCCATTTTGAATTGAGCAGCCATATTGAAAATTCCTTCTCGAGCAGAGGTCCTACACTCATAAGGCATAAGCCTATAAAATTTGAACCAAATCCGTCAACCGGTACTGGAGTTATCGCCCGGACACACGGACAAACGAACGGACGGCTTCTCTATATCGATAAAAATGGTATTCTATATTCTATATGAGTTGCCCTAGTCATTCTACAGTTCCAGGTGTTATTTTGTTTAGCCCGTGTCTTGTGGTCAATTAAATTGACAATATCACACATGGAAATGACTTTGGAAAACCTGCAATACGTACAATTTATTAAATCACCTCTCATTATGAAACAATGTTCAAAACTTTGAATGAATGTACAATACTCTTGTATTTGAGATACATTGTCTGAAATATATTCACAGGTGAAGCGTTCATACTTGCACTTTTGTGACATGTAGTAAATTTTGCCTTTCATCTTTTACAAGAACAATAATAAGTGGATTACACCGAACTCGTCTGATCAGTGATCGCACGCAATAGCATAATGCATATCAGAATGTGAATTTTATGCATTCCCTGTCCAGGCCTTTGTCCATTTGTCTACTTTCGGTGCCCGGACGCTATAATAACAAGAATTTGCATTGCCGGGAGTGTAAAATTGGTTATTTTGAATGCCATCCCTTGTATTTCTCATCTGCCTCTTGTAAAAAAAAGTCACTGAAACCACTGAGATCCCGACTTTATGAAACAAATATTAGACAATTCTCTGACTCACTTATCAGACGAAGACAGAAAACAGGTGGAGCAGTTTCTGTTAAAACATCAAGATGTTTTTGCCAAAACTAAGTATGACCTGGGAAAAACAGATGTGATGAGGCATGAAATTGATACAGGAAATGCTCGACCAGTTAAACAGGCTGTAAGATGAATTCCTTTATCTAAAGAAGCCGGATATCAAGAGACTCTGGACGAAATATTAAAACATGGACTTGCTCGACCATCTAAAAGCCCATGGGCCTCACCTGTGGTGATGGTACCGAAAAAAGACGGAACTTGTAGACTGTGTATAGATTTTAGAAAATTGAATGACGTGACTATTAAGGATGCGTACCCTTTACCAAGGATTGATGACACTAGACTCTTTAGAAGGAGTGAAATGGTTTAATATTCTTGATCTCTCCTCTGGATTTTGGCAAATATCATTTGACAGCGCTGACACTGAAAAGACTGCATTTTGTACTAAACGTGGTTTGTTTGAATTTACTGTCTTGCCTTTTGGTCTGGCTAATGCGCCAGCAACTTTTCAGTGTTTGATGGAATGTGTCCTTGCTGGACTTTCCCCAGAGTCTTGTTTGGTCTATCTGGATGATATTGTTGTGTTCAGCGAGGATGTTCAGTCATTTGAGTAAACTATGGAGTGTATTTGACTGGTTGAGGGGGGGGGAAGGCTGAAGCTTTCCCCGAAAAAATGTAATCTGTTCCAATAGGAGGTGTCATATCTAGGTCATATTGTCTCTGAACAAGGGGTGCGAATTGATCCAAAGAAAACTGAATCCATTGTTGGGTGGCCTGCGCCAAGAACTTCAATCTTTTGTGGGCAACTGTTCCTATTATCAGAAATTTATGAAGGACTTTTCTGGTATAGCTAGGCCTTTGTACAAGCTCACCGAAAAGGGCGTTCATTTCAATTGTAGTTCTGATTGTCAAAAGGCCTTTGATGAATCGAAAAGAAGATATATTGGATCAGATTCTGGAAGCCACTCATGAGGCTTTTTAGTGGACAATTTGGTGTAAATAAGTCGGTCAGAGGGCTTCGTAACAAGTACTATTGGGTTGTGTTTAAGGCAGATGTGGCTCGTTGGGTAGCTGAGTGTGAATTATGTCAAGGGCGGAATCCACCTAATCGCAAATGGACTCCAATGAAGCAATACAATGTGGGTGTTCTTTTAGAGATGGTGGCCATTGATATTTTGGGGCCATTACCAGAGAGTTTGTTAGGAAATAGACATGTGGTTTCCATCGAAGATTATTTTACCAAGGTATTGGCCTTAGGTCCTGTTCCAAATCAAGAGGCTAGTACTGTGGCTTGGGCTTTTTTGATACATTTCTTTCGTTTGTATGGATCTCCTTTGCAAATTCATTCAGATCAAGGTTTCCAATTTGAGTCAAAGTTGTTTAGAGAGCTGTATGAGATGTTTAGGATGAGCAAGACCAGGACAACTCCTTATCATCCCCAATCTGACGGTATGGTAGAGAGGTCGAACTGCACTGTTGAGGCAGTGTTATCCAAAATTGATCAACGAGACTGGGACATTTGTTTACCATCCGAAGTGACAGCTTATAACACATAACTGATTATAGCCCCAATTTTTTGATGTTTGGAAGAGAGGTAAGGACCTCTGTTGATCTTTTACTCGGGCCTCCTCCTGAGACTGAGCAAGGGGAGTTGGATAGTGATTATTATACCAAGTATTGTAAGCAATTGCAAGACATGATGCTCAATATTCACGAGGCAGCCCGAAATAATATTCAATTGGCAAGTGATAAGCAAAAGGGGGACTATGATCTGAAAACCAATTTGAAAGCTTACGAGAAAGATTCGCTAGTTTGGGTTCATATTCAGCCTGTGGAAGTGGGTCGAACGCCGAAATTCACGCTCAAATGGCATGTTCCATATCAGGTATTTGAAAAATTAGATGATCTACGTTATCTCATCAAAATTAATGGAAAAGAGTCATTCACCACGACCGATTAAAGAAGTATGTTTCCAAAGTCCAGGAAAAATATGCTCCAGAACTTGAAACAACTAGGGATGTTGAACTCCAGGGTCAGATGTCAATGAACCTACCCAGGTCACGGGAAAAAGGGGCCGGGAACGCATGAAACCAGGGTGGCTAGACGAGTATGAGACGTATTAGGGTCATTTAGGAGAAGAGTCAGGCCGAGCAATTAAGACATCTATTCACATTAAACTTCTAGATAGGCAGATCTAAGGTTAAGCTGACAACACTGGAAACCAGAACAACGGCAACGCCAAAGCGTAGCGAATCCCATCGAACAGAAATGGCTGGCATTTTGACAAACGAATAGCAAATATCATAAAACAACACACCAGAAAGGCCACCATTTTCAAAATGGTTGCTCACTAGCCAAGTTGTCATCAGAAGAAATAATATGCTTTTAAGAAGCCACCTCTAAAATATTTGAAAAATCGCACACGTACTTGTAAAATAACACACATAAAAATGGTGGCCATTTTTTAAAATGGCCGACTACTCCCCAAAGTTTTATTAGACAATGTGCCATGCTTAAAGCATTCACATATCAAATATGAACAAAATCGCTCCACTACTTTTCGAGTTATAGTAAAATCGTTAAAATGGTGGCCATTTTTCAAAATGGCCACCTTCTACCAAAAGTGTCATTAGAAATAGACAGTTTACAAAATGGTCGTCTTGTACCAAAAGTGTCATAGGACAGTGTGCCATGCTTATAGTATTCACATACCAAATATCAACAAAATCGCTCCACTACTTTTCGTGTTATAGTAAAATACGTTAAAATGGCGGTCATTTTTCAAAATTTTTTTTCATCAAAATGGCCGCCTTCTACCAAAAGTGTCATAGGACAGAGTGCCATGCTTATAGTATTCACATACCAAATATGAACAAAATCGCTCCACTACTTTTCGAGTTACAGTAAAATACATTAAAATGGCGGCCATTTTGAAAAATGGCCGCCTTCTACCAAAAATGTCTTTAGACAGTGTGCAATGCTTATAGTATTGACATACCAAATATGAACAAAATCGCTCCACTATTTTTTGAGTTACAGCAAAAATCGTAAAATGACAAGTAAAGGCCGCCATTTTTCAAGATGGCTGCCATGTGCTTCTTAAATATCTACATTTGTAGCATTATTATTGTCCTTTATAATTTTTTTATATTTAAAACATATTGCTATTACAGTTTTACATATTGCACCTAAATTACTGTAAAATCGTCACTAAAATGGCCGTCATTTTGAAATGAGCGGCCATTTTGAAAATCGGCTTTCGAGCAGAACTTCTACCCCCATAGGCTATATTTGTACAAAATATGAACAAAATCGGGCCAACGGTATTTGAGTTATTGCCTGGACGGACGGACGGACAGACGGATGGACGGACGTACGGACGGACGTATGGACGTACGGACGGACATACGGACGGACGTACGTATGGACGGACGGACGGAGGCGTTTCCTATATCCCTCCGAACTTCGTTCGATGGGATAATAATTAATCACTTGTGCTGCAGCTCTGGCACATGCGCAGTAGCAGGTTTCTATTAGCAACCACTGGTAAACAGTATCATAGCCTTTAGACCACCAACCTACTTTCTAACTCTGTAACTCAATGTTTCTTGCTTTCTTGGCTTGGGTATCACCTTCTGTTGACAATTAATCATTAACTTGACATATACCAGGCATTAGTTTGTATGTAGAATTGTAAGTTCCCTGGTAAATTCAAGATCAAACTGACCTCCTAGTTGATTATTACAGACAGCAGGATAGTCAATTAAGTGTGTGTGTTGTATGGATTATAATTAGAGAATCTGTAAAATGACTCTCATTAAACTAGTTTAATCAGTGAATTATTAGATATATGTGATAGATTAAAAGTTGCTTTAATTTTTTGTTATGGCGAAAATTTTAATCAAAACTGGATAGTATCTAATGTGAGAAAAACAATATGGCGGATTATCATGGACAATATTTGGATAGGATGTGTAGACTCTGCGGTAAGAGCACAAACATTTCATCAAATAGCAAAAAGAGACCTCCAATGTTATGTAAGTACTTCAAAGAGAGAATTTTAGAGCATTATAGCATTGATATTTCAATTGATGATGATAAAATACATACTCAGAAAATATTCCAAAGCTGTGTTAACACAATGCTAAATTCAGAAAAGAAAGGAGCTAATAGGCCACATGTTCCTCAAGAATTTTTCAAATATGTTGAGCATTGTACTGAGGACTGTATTGTTTGTAAAGTAAACATAGAAGCAAGTAGACCAGGCCGAAAAAAAGAAAGCAAAAAGGGGAAGACCAATGGCACAGGTTGAACCTTCTCATAAACATATCGGCACATCCCCAATGGTTCAAAAGACACCTAAGTCAGTAACTCTCGAGGAAGCCCAAAAAAGAAATTTAAATTCACCCCTAAACAAATCTGAAGAAGACATTGACAAGATTTGCAAAGCGAAAGCTCAATTACAGCTCAGGGAACAGGATCACTCTAAAAACTGGAGGACATCCATTACATTTGATTCATGAATCAAAGCGAAGGAAATTAACACATGAAACAAAATCATCATCTAGCCGTTCAATTGTAGCAAATGATGTTATACAAATTAGATCACCAGGAGCTTTAGCTTTGAAAACCTCGCAAGAGTTAACAGACAATAAATATGCAGAATCTGCACGACTGTTAAAAAACAATGGCATTCAGCTTCCATCTCTTAATGCACTAAGAAATGAACGCAAAGAATTCATCAATGAAGATTTTACAACAACATCTGTATCAGCTTTGGAAAAAAGCGATTCCTCAAAAGCTGTTAAGGGATATATACAAAAAAAAGTTCCCATTGTACATGTGCATGATTTACACTCATTTACAATGGAATTATTGCAAGAATACAATGACAATGATATGTTTTCAAAGGCTTTGAATGGGAACATTCAAATAGTATGCATGGCAGTCTGTAATCTAGACAAACCAAATGCTAAGGACAATACTATTGTCATTGCTGTTACACCTGCCAAGGATTATTATCAAAATACGAAATCTGTTATCGACATCCATGCTAAAAGCATCTGAAAACTCAATCACTCAACATGGGGTGAGAAGGCCATTGAGGTTTTCATATGTGGAGATTATGCATTTCTTGCTACTTGTTATGGACTTTCAGGCGCTGCTGGGGTTCATTCTTGTATATATTGCCTAATTACAAAGCAAGCTATGCAGCTCAAACCTAAATATGCCACAGCTCCCCTGCGAAATTTACCTGAGATGAAAAGGGACAACGAAAAATTCATGTCAACTAAATCTTGTGGTGGTCGAGGAAACTTAGCAAAGGCATCATCCTTCCACAATCTGATTCACAAGCCCATGCTTAATGTACCATTGTCTCATGTAGCTCCCCCAATACTCCACATCACTCTTGGCGTGACAAAGAAACTGCACGATCTCTTCATGGATGATCTACATGACATAGATAAATCGACTGCAAAAGAATTGATGTCTACAAACACAAAAAAACTTTCAAATGCAGCATTCCATAACCATGTTAAGGAGAAGAAAGTTTATCGTGAAAATCTAGCTAAAATTGGATCCTTGAAATATGACCTGACGGATGATTCCCTAAGTAAGTCCCAGAAAAGAATATTGAATCTAAAATATTAACAATGAAAAAGAAAACAACAAAGGGAGAACCCACACTTCCTAGGAAAGCAGGCCCGCTACACAATTACATCAATGATGATGTGTTGGTTAGAAACAAGGTTTACCAGGTAGACTATCATGGGCGGCCATTTACCGGTAACAACTGAAAACGATATTTGAGTGATGAAGTTACATGTTGTAACGTGCTATTTGGATTATAGTCGCATTATTGAATCTTGGATAATTGAGAATAATTGTCGATGTGTTCAAGTTTGGAGTAGTACTTCCGAGATCTGCGATTTAGTAGCGCTTATTCCGACTGAGTGTGCCAGTGTATTCACGGGTGTCCAGATTTGTTGCGCGATCATAAATGAGTACTTGTGCACTTTGAGTAAATCAGGCAATCAGCATCTGTTGGAACTATTGACTCCTTGAGGTTTTCGGTTGACAGGTTTACTTCTGTGTGATTGGGGATTTAATACTTTCAGGCATTTATAGAGGGCGTAAAAGACAATACATTTAGAAAGCTTACTATTTCTAGTTCAAGTTGACCTCATGTACTATAGTGTATGTTCTACATTAGTAGTATAGAAAGTATCCATTTGAAACACGTAATAAGACTAAATTATAAATATTATAGTAATTAATCTGAGCAGTTATTTATAGATAGCTGAAGGGCGTTTGATTGCATGCACATTACATATTTATTGATATAAAGTTAAATCGAATAAATTAATAATTATAGATATACATTACCATCTTACAGTAAGTATCTTCAGGCTTGATAGGCCTAGTTGTTGTTATAGCACATTATTGTTGTTGCATATTTATTTAATCCTTATAAACCTGGAGTGTAGCTTTACCCTGACTCTTTTACGTTTAGAGCCTGTTTATCTGTTCTCTTTACTTAATTTTAGTTATAAGAATACGAATTCCACTATCTATTACCGGTCACGTTTACCAAATCTCGCATTTCCCCCGAGATCAGTATTTTATATTTAGCATTGATTTGGACTAGTATTCGATATTAGGAAATTAGCTTTAATGAAAATGACATTTCTGATCATCACAGAAGCACCCCTAAAAGACAGAAAACACCAAATAAGCCTGCTAATAGGAGTATTGATCTGGGTATGGCCATGATCAAAGTATCAGGGAGTTATTCAAGAAACCAATTAATGAAAGATTATCTGTACTTGAAGAACAGCTATTGACATTCCTTGTGAAAAGAAAATTAAAAACCCATAATGACCCCGAAGAGCTCATTGTAAACAACAAAAGAGGAATGATAATTAGGCCAAAAGAAGTAGATTCTTTGTTTTGCATCCTGGCAAAATCCAAATCATGCAAGGGTACAAGGAAAACAAACACATACTCAAGAAAAAAAACACAAACTTGTTTGCTGAGAAATGTATACATTTAATTGGCATAAAAGGGGATGACATTCCAATTTGCAATGATTACAAATACATATCTATACATTTTATGCAATATATTTAAACATAGCTATCATTCAAGGCTAAAAAATTAGATTTGCACAATGTATGCCAAAGTAATCACACTTTCAATTTTGACGCACATCAAATTATCCGCCATTTCGTCCGATTCTGATTGAACGAAATGCGATGGTATTAGCTTTCAGACCTTTGTGATTGCTATTTGAATGTGTTTGTTTTTCCTGATTTACTCAAAATTGTGCAAGCAAGAGGACGCAAAACAAAGAATCTACTTCTTATGGCCTTATGTTAGTATGATTTTCACTTAATCCCCATTGAGATAGTACTTGTAATTATCTATGCTTAATTGCTTCAACCCCTTACAAGGTATTTTCTTTAGTTGAGTGGGAGGGGGGTATACAAATAAAAATTGTTTATTTTATTAAGAATACCAAAACAGCTATCAGTAAAACTATAATTTCAGAGCCTTAGATTTGTCCTAGTGCCAGAACCAAGGGAAGGCAGTGATAAGGCCTCATTACCATTGAAAAGAAAACGAGCCAGAAAACTACAGAAAATAAGAGAAAAAATAAGTGGCAAGGGCAGTGATTCGTCAACCTTTCAGCTGTCAAAAGAATGGCTTGTTCAGGTGAAAAAAGAGGGCCAGGGAGCGATTGGGACTAAATTAAAACCCTCTGTCATGAACTCAGGTAACATGAGTATGTCTTGGGAAAATTCTACATCCACGTCTCTTTGTCTCGCACTTGCATTGCAAAACTCCCATGTAAATGCAGTCTCTCGTGAAATGATGACATCATTCGATTTTACCCCAGTGCTTGTGCAGTGGGTCAAACGTCAGAACCGGAAGTAAAAATGCAGCTTTTCTGTTTGAATTTCACTCAGGTTTACTGGAATATGATATGAGCAATGAAGTTATTGAAGGGCAAACCTATCCAGAACTCCCGGAAGTAAATTTGGCTGATCTGGCGGTCAGAGATAATAAATATAGATTGGACTTAACAAGTGCCATCAACAACTTGAAATCGCAGCGAAGTTGGGTGAAACTGCCTATCACCTATGGTGCTTCTTTAAGCAGTCTAAATATGGGATGAGTCCAACTCTTACAACTGATTCTGATCGGAATAGTTGGAGTGCTTCTGGTGATCAGTGGGGTTTATATGAATAAACAACGAACCATACTATTGTCTGTGGGTAAAACAGTTCTGGAACTGGCTACTTCTGGAAAAGGGCATTGCCATCACCAGAAGTGGGTCGGAGATCAGGCCAAACTACTACGGCCTTGTAATTAGTAGTAATTGTAATTATCTGCCGTGAATAAGATGGTCTGTATAGGCATCCTTGATAACTAGGCTGTATAAACATAGCAAAACATGATGTTGACGTTTTTACAAAAATACAAAGCTAGATTTTATGAATATTCTTGATATTACCATACTGGTAATTCTATCTTTAGAAAGTTTAATCAAATAAAAGCTGTCCAGTTGAGGTGCTGAGTTTCTGCAAAAGAGCGCAAAATACAGAAAATTTACTTGCTGAAAGGGATTCGAAGAAATCCACATGGGGGTAAATTAATAACCAGTTCCCAAAATCCCAAAAATTGGTCATATTAGCTCCATAACAGTGTATAATATTGGATTTTTTTAATACTAGACCTTTTGTCAAGTATCCAAAAATCAGCACTTGACATATGAAATTTTCACTGGACAACTTTTTGCTAGTTGTGAACTAAATTAAAATCCACATTTGAGACAGTCAAAATAAAGAAACAGGCATGATATTATGCAATCAGTATTTCATTTCTATTCAGTTTTTGTTCACAGCTTTAGCATCCATATCTTTAAACATATCATCGAATTTAAAATATACAATAGCCTCCTCCTCACTATCAGAGGCAGTCATCATCAAACAAATCAGTTATCCTCCGACTCTGACATGCTGTATACTGTATTCATAGTGTACATCAGGTTCATTAACATCATTAAGAACTTCTACAATAGCAGGCCCACTGCCATCTACAGTTGCCAACAGACTTTCAACCTGATTTTCATTAACAACTACATTTTGAACATGGGACTACAACTTAATATAGAAATAATATTTTTTGGACTTAAAATTTTCTTAAATAAATTAATATTTTTGAACTACATTTGTTTTCATGTTTTGTAAAAGATATAGAGACTCAACTTCGCCACAATACTTTATTAGGTTTCTGCTAGCTTAAGAGCGTAGTCGCATTATTTGCTAGCGGCAATTAGACATTTTGATAGTCACACAGTTCAGCAATCTTTTGGGGAGAGACCATTACATCACACAATTAGGCTATCAGCCGTATACACAAGATACTAGAGTATCCGCGTATATTGAGTATGACCGGTTCTAAGCTTACGAGTGTGACCGTTTTTCTGTTCCTATAAACAGACGAGGTGAGTACTTGCTTTTTATGAACACTTTCGAACGTTTTCTTTTTATCCTACTTGGTCAATGAATGATACTTGGTATACTTATAATGCCAGGCATATCACAAGGGGCCTTAATCAAGAGAAAACGTATTAATATTAGATTGAAGCCGTAAAATCCTAGTTTCCAGCATCTTTGATCAGTTTTTGTGTAACACAACGCAACTCCGAAGAGGATGACACATCTTATGTATAATATATAGCTAGATCTACGAATTAGTCATGGATATTTTAAATAATTTAGCCTGCTCTGTCCAAATATGATACATCTTTGAATTTTTGAGAATACGAATGTCACTGGTGCCCCATTATTGGAGAATACGGTTGTGAAACAATCAGTAGGCCGTGTTACACTCGTTTCCATGACATTTCACAAGCGTATCCTCTGGGAAAAGATAAATCCTTCTCTTGCTCACTCTACGGGGGATCATATAAACTGAGATTTGGAGATCTTGTTCAGGTTAGCCATAAAAAGGTTTGGGATTTATGTAAGTTCATCTCTCTGGTTAATATATCAGAAACAAGTCAAATTCTTTACTTCAGAGAATATTTTTAATTTATTGAGACTTTCGACCAATATCCCTTAGTCTTTTTCAAAATATAGCTGTTATATTTTGAAAAAGACTATAGGGATATTAGTCGAAAGTCTCAATAAATTAAAAATATTCTCTGAAGTAAAGAATTTGACTTGTTTCTGGTTTGGGATTTGTTTTTTTCTACTGTGATATTAATGATTTGGCTCTAAGGCAAGAAATCTGTACTTTCTGATTGATATTCCATTATGAACAGTTACATTGCTAAAATAGCTCATGTTTAACATTTTTTTGTTACATTACTATTAAATACAGCATAAACTATATTCAACAAACACAATTTCAAAAAGGATAATATAGAAGTTAACCTTTATTTTCCATTTTTGAGCAGTTGTGCCTCTCATGACTTTCCAAAACAGGTCATATTCGTAGCCTAAGAACCGGTCATACTCAATATACGCGGATACTCTAGTTACCCGTGCGTATAGTTTGGCTTTTATATGCACCTTACGCTAGCAGTTCCCTTTCCTGTTTTGTTATATTTTTTGCAGTAACCAAGCAGTTACAGTAGTGACAGCAGCTATAACAGATATTTTCCCGGCAGTCTTGGCTAGGTAAGTTCGGCTAGTGGTTTGGGGTTGCCTTGCCCCATATGGGGTTACAGTTTTGTAGTTTCTTTTCAATGAAGCTGCAATCAGTTCTTCAACTATTACATTATTAGTTATTGAGCTTACAACTTTATGGCTGTAAGTCAGGTTATGGCGTGCAGTTATTAATCAACCTGTCATGGTTGACAGTTTTCCGTCAGTTACTCCAGTTATACTGTCAGTTTGTATAGTTATTCAGTCAGCTACTCTATTTATTGCTTTGCAGTTGAGGTAGTCAACACACTTTTCCAGAGGTAAGTTTTTAAGTTCTTGGATTCCTTTCGGGGGAATCCTCCCCCACCCCCTTCATTTATTAGTGCAGCAGCTTTGGCATGGACTTGCAGATACACTTACCCAGGACAACAGTTATTAACAAGCAGTTTTCAGCAGTGATTTCATTAAACACCCCAGCAGTTCTAACTTATTTATTGGGGTTAATTATTCTAATTTGGGGCAGTTTTGTTTTAATACTATTGCCAATTATTAGGGCCTTGACAGTTTAACATATTGTAACAATTTTTCGAAGTTTTACAGCTTTGGCTTACTTTTACTCTCCCATAATTTTTTGTTTGTTTAGGACGCTTGATTGGCTTTGCGGTTTGAGCTATCTATCACAGCATGGATACCCCTCCTGATTCATCCCCAATTCCAGAGGAGATCTTTTTCGATGCCCCCATGCCTTCCTCCTCTGTTCAGCCCCTCATGGAAGCAATCAATTCCCCCACATCCCACACCTTGCTATCTCCAGCATCCCTGGTGACCCCCCCCCCCCCCGATGGACATGGGAGACTCCGATCCCAATCAGGAGGGTTTTTACGACGCCAAAGTATCAGCCACCCCTGTAGTTACCCCACTTATGAAGGCCCAACCCACCCCCTATATACCAACCATTAACCATCCCTCAGATCAACAGTCAACCCCCTCCTACCCATTTACCATTCCCCTTATGGATCGGACCATCCCGGACCATCCCCTTTCCCATCCCACCCCCTCGTACAGCTGATCCAGCGATCAAATTTGCAATCCTGGGTCACTCTTTTGTCAAACGTATGTACAATGCCCCACCAGCCCTTCCAGGCTTTGAATTTGAGCTGCATGGTTTGCCCGGGGCGACAGTCTCACGACTCAGGCATAAAGTGGTGAACACCTCAAGGTTTTGATGAGTTTTTACAGTATCATGACGTTTTGGGAGATCCGGTTCATCTGAACGACGATGGGGAGCCCCTCCTCAGCCTCATGGGAGGATTTGGCTTGTAGCCATAAAATAAAACAGTAAGTATTCAGAGCGGCACCTCTGTCAACTGTGCCAGGGAGTCTTGGTTAAGTTTTATTTATTTATTATGTTTTTGTTTTGCCCCCCCCCCCCCTTCTTTTACTATGGATTTACTTGTCAATAACCACCTACCTTCACTTGTGGGTGTTATCTGAATCACAGTTAACAATAATACACAAGCAGTTTTGCATTTGAGTTCAGGTACCTAGTATAGTAGCCTTATTAGAGCTGTGTGATAATACACTTAGAGTGTTTTTTGGGTGCATTTCAGTACTTGCAGTTTTATTTCATTACTGAATCAGTCTACATCTTCTCATTCTTGAATTTCATGAGTAGCCTTATATGACCATGAGCAGGTAGTGACTTAACGTTTCTGTTTTCCAGTCACGATGGCAACAACAACAGTTCCAAGTAACAGGCAGCCCCTCTAAACATGTTGGCAGATGTGGCAGCCTCCAGAAGTGTAGCATCTACCACTTTGGCAGGTATGCCTTCATTGAGACTTAACCTGGCGCATGCCTCAATTCTGGCTGATGCATCTACATCCTTTGCTACTTCTCTTCCCTCTATCCCCTCTGTACTCCCCCTTTATCCCTTGCATCTGCACCCTATGCTTTACCTTCCTTACAGGCCACTTTTTCCTGCACAGTTTTAGAAATGTTGACAGTCCAAATTGTTTATGTGGCTACAGAGACCAAACTACTAAGCACCTCATCTTCAACTGCCCGCTATTATTAAGAGAAAGAGAACTTTGGGGGGAACTTAGGATAATGCCTGAACTTGATTTCTTTTTTTTCACCAAGATGCTCTTTAGAACACAAGACAAATATTCTCCTGTTTGGTGACATTTCATTGAATAATTCTATTGTCTAAAATAACATGTATTTATAATGAGTCAAAACAATCAGTTCATTTCTCCAAACAGGGGATCCATCTTTTATGTAAATTCAAATGCTGTAACCCACAGGGCCAATAATGCTTTGGCTTAGGCCCTGTTTATGCTGTATACTAATACTGTTTAAATAAAGGAACCATAAAAACTAAACTAAACCTTCCTTATCACATGGAATGCATGTTCCATGTTTCCAGCATACCAATACTACTTTCTTGGGGCCTCAGCCTCTATCATCTCAGCTACATCACCCTTTGCTATCTACTCAGCCTTTGCAAATGCCTAATGCAGGTTTGGGAAACCATGCCCACATTCAGCTGCCAACACCCCCTCTTACGGAAGGACAGACCATTTACACAGTTGCCCCTCATTTGAACCCAACCCCTCAAGTATTGCTCCCCCAACTTACATCCCACCCATTAATTATCAGCTGGCTGTCTCTATGCAATCTGGCCCACTCCATGCTCTCATCCCTCAGAAGATAAGAAAATATTTGGTCGGAGGAATACATCAATTTATCCACTCTGATTAAGGGCCCAGGGAACAGAAGCATAATGATTTTGTCTTGACAGAGATTAGGGATGATGGTTCACATGAGTCCAAACATGTCAACCTCAGCAACACGGGGAAGAAAGAACGCGTTCTAACATTCCCGGATTGGTGCAGAGCTTTAAATATATTCCATTCAGTGTACACACTTCGTTTCCTGGAACCCGCCCAGAGCCTTCTGAAACATATGGTTACGGTCATTGAGCTATACCAAAAGGGACAAGGTTGGAGATTTTATGACGAAAAGTTTCGCGATGAACGCTCTAAGTCCAGATTCCCCTGGGGCATGTTGCACTTCGAGATCTGGTTGCGGGCCAAAGACTTGACCAGCTCTGCCTCCACCATGTGGGCTTCCCATCACGAAGAACCCACCGACGCCATCCCTGAATTCCGCCTCTAATACCCCCCTAACCACCCCGGCAAGCATTCTTTTCGATCCCGTGACAATCAATCCCCTATTGGACATATCCCAGAAGGATTTTGCTACAGCTATTACAAAAGGAAAGGTTGTCCACAGGACATCTATTGCGGTTACAAGCACAACTGCCCTCAATGCTCCAGGAACCATCCCAGGTCATCATGAGGAAAGAGATCCAAGGGTCAGCAGGGTGGCCAATCCAAAGCCAAATCAGAGGGAAAATCCCGGAAGCCATGGAGTGGTAACTCCGGTAAATCCAACTAGGCTGAAACATTTCCTACAAGATTATGGAAAGGATCAACTAACCTTCCTGATCGATGGTTTTTCCTTTGGTTTTTCCTTCACTCATTCATATTCCCACCTGCAGTATAACACTATATACCCAAACTTGAAGTCAGTCAGTGAAGCACCACAAGAGTTGACAAAGAAGTTACGGAAAGAACTGGAACAAGGCAGATTAGCTGGGCCCTTCATAGACCCACCTTACCCCTTATATATCATTTCCCCCCTCGGCTTGGTCCCCAAAAATTCCCAGGAGAGTACAGAGTTATTCACCATCTGTCTTTCCTTAAAGGCAGTTCAGTCAACGATGGGATTCGAGTAGAAGCGGCTTCAGTTCAGTATGCCTCTGTTGACAAGGCTATAGACAAACCTTCGGCCCCAGTTGTTTCTTAGCAAAAACTGACGTGAAATCTGCTTTCCGAATTATCCCCATCCACCCTTCCCTCCATCATCTGCTGGGCATGGTTTGGAATAATAGATATTATTTTGGCTTCCAATGAGGCTCTCAGCATCATGTTCCATATTTGAAGCCCTTAGCACTGCTTTAGAATGGGGGGGGGGAGTACATATCCTGGGCATCCCCAATGTACTACATATCTTGGATGACTTTCTATTGTTTTGTCCAGACCAGAGTACGTGTAATTTGGCCCTCAAGTCTTTTCTTCAGATGTGCGACGACATTGGTGTACCCATGGCCCCGGAGTAAACAGTCGGTCCGGCCACAGTTCTCAGATTCGCAGGTATTGAAGTAGATACCCTTTCCATGGAAGCTAGTCTCCCTACGGATAAAATCAGCCAAAGGCCTACACTTGGTTGCCGCCCTCACGTCCCATACCCCCTCTGACTTATTCCAGCCCAAAATAAAGAAATCTACCAAGAAAGGCCTTCTGTCTGTCATCGGTTTCCTCAGTTTCTGCTGTTATATTATCCCATTTGGTAGGACTTTCCTCGGTCGCCTTATTCATCTATCATGTAAGGTGCGCGAGCTGCATTACAAAGTCAAGATAACAAATGAGGCCATGCAAGGCCTGATCATCTGGCGAGATTTCCCGACTCACAATAACGGGAAGAGCATGTTCCTGCCACAGAAGTTGCGTTTGGAATTGTACACTGATTCGTCTACATCCTTTGGTTTTGGTGCTGTATGGGGCAATCACTGGATCCAAGGCTCTAGGCCCCCTTCCTAGAGTTATTACCACATCACTATTTTGGAGCTTTACCCCACTGTTGCTGCCATCGTTTGCTGGCAAGATCTTATGGCGGGGGCTAAAGTAACACTGTGGGTGGATAACGCGGCCGTGGATCATATTCTACGAAGGTTATATTCCCCAGTTCCCCAAATTATGACCCTGTTAAGTCCTCTGATTCTGGCCTGCCTACATATAATATCTCTTTCACTAGCACAAGGAAAAAAAAGAAATTTAACTATATTTGTCATTAACTCATTGGGTATCTCTCAATTAATATATAATATGACAGTGCTTACAATGCTTTTAGATATTAAAAAGAAAATTCAGACAGCAATTTTCAAATTTTTATGGAAATTTTTTATGGTTATTAATGACATTAAAAATGGGGGACTTAAGATAAAAGCTATACGCGGGTCTTGGATTAAAAGACTTGCATAATAAATCGTCTTGGAATCTCATTTTTGAACATTATATTAACAACTTAAGATTTACTGTAGAACAATTCTTGAAGACCACTTTCACTAGTAAAATTGACATAAAATTGCCAGAATTTTACAAACAAGCTTTCATTGCCTTTAATAAATGTTAACAAAACAATACAAAAGGTAAATATCGTATGGGAGAAGTCATATGGCTGAATGAAAATGTAAAAAGCAAAAATAGCACGTTATATTACAAAAAATGGATTAAATCTGGGTTTATGTATGTCAAGGACTTCTTTGACAATGTTTTGTCAGCTTTCCGGGTTTGCCGGACAAGGTCTGAACAGTTTACTTTGGGCAAGTACTCCTACCTCTTAATTGAGCGATTCGGGGGAGTCTTCTTTGCTTTTTATTTTCTTTTCAGCATCTGTTGATGTCAAGTGGCTGTTCAACTATGCTGCTTTTCCAGCTTTGGGGGTCCACACAAACAGGACCCCCACTTTTGCTGTTACATGTAATCTCCGACTCCCATCGGACATTCTCCATGCTGGCATACTTAAATAGGCTACTGTATGATACAGTTTTTTTACTTATGTTAACAAACCCGAAGGAGAACAATAAATAGGTATTCACGCTTAAGGTATGAAAGGTAAGAATAAGGACCAGAGGAAGTGATTGTTAAAACGTTGGAGGCAATACGTTGTAGATTTAGTGCACCAGTGAAGGACAATTAAATTCCCGAATTAATGATTGGGGAGATAAGGGTGCTCCGATATGGAAATGTTGTGACAAAAAGTTTTTAATAAAATACGCATTTAGATGGTAAATATATTCGTTAATTTAGTTTAAGTTGAGGTTTATTGGTGGAACAGATGAGAGTTGTTGCCGCTAAAGGCGCTCATGATTGAAACAGGGAGGAGCTTGTAGTGTGTGGGTGCTAAGTTAGCAGCGAGCCTACAGCAATGTGACAATTTGGCTGTCAATCTCTTTTGGCCAGCCAATCAGAGCCAAATACGGTTCAGGAACGTCCGAGCGATAGAGGGAGGCAGTATAAAATAAAAAAGGTTGTCTTAGCAAGGAAAGTCAGATTGCAAGTCGATCCAAGAACATACAAATCATGACGAATCAACAAGAGTCTGAAATATTGGCTGCATTTGTTCTTTCCTTTTAAAGTATGCCTATACGGGTCATACGCGTGGTCATATGAGTTCTGGTGAAATAAAGGTTGGGGTTATTGTTAGAATGATAAGTCAAGGGAAAAGATGCGACTTCTTAAATAATAGATTGGAGCTTTTCCACGGTGTCTTGGCGTTTTGTAGTAAGGCAGGGGCTAGACACGGCTGTTTTAATGTTGAAATTGGAACTGTCCCTTTCTTAATTTTGTCTAAAGAATTGTTTTCGTCAGAGTAGTTGTGTTGTTTTTCAGTAAGGATTATCTTTACAACCAAATAACGTATAATAGTTAAGCTACAATAAAATTATCAGGATTAAAAATTACCAATTGCCAAGACTAAGTTAAAAATCTAAGTTTAAAATTAATATGGTTATCATATTCCATAAAGGTGATCCCGTATAGAGGATATCTGCATTCAACTGGTCGCTGCTGCTGATGCAAATAAACATGAATATCAAATTAAAAATATCTATTAATTAAGACAGTAGAACGAATTAATGATTTAAATTAATGTTTAAGAAGCCTCATGACGTACCAATCTAGTTGCATTAGATAGGTATAAAAAGACAAAATGAAGTCTTGCAGTATTGAGTGATAGGCAAGGTTCTGCCAGGTTCGGGCAATTATGCCATATAATCTACTAAAACGAATATGAATAATTTGAACAAAATACAAATTAACTACAAATTACCCTTACGTCTAGGGCTGGCATGGATTGGAATTGTTATTTGAATAGTCCCAATTTTTCCTTCGGAAACTCATATTCTGATAATTTCAGATTAATTGAATTACTTCCTTGAAGAACTCTCACCAACTAGCTATTACAAACTGGTGCAAAACAAAAAGGCGAGAGGGAATATGCTTTGTGATCTGGAAATTATTCTTGAAGATTACGTAAAAAATATCAGGCAGGCAGGTTAGCTTAGATTTCAGAAAGATGGCAAGAAATCAAAAAGTGTCTACAAACAAACAAGATTTAGTATTTTAATAGGGAAAAGAGTTTTGAATTCCAAATGCAAGTGCTGAAGTTGGTTCTGTTCTGATTTTGTTCTGTGCCATCCCTTCTGAGTCATTGACAAGAAAAATTCATTTTTATAGCCTGCAGGGCACAGTGTCATGAAAAAAGGTGAAATATGAGAATTCCGAAGATATTGTAATGAAAATGCAATGTGACTGTTGGTTTGTTTATGAAAAACTATGATTTTGTTTAGATCTTTAATTTCTTGTTCAGTTCATCGATTATAATTATTCAAACTTACTCATTTAAATATATGTGCGCTCCGATTTAGGAATTCATAAAGATCGTAGTGATTAGCCGGTATTTCCAGAAGAGTTTAGTGAAACTGTTTGGTGATAGTTTTCGATTGATTTCTGTATTTCAATTTACTTCCGGAACTACTTTTACGTTCGTTTCACATCAGTTCTTGTATGTTTCTGTTTCTTTGTGCAATCCAACACAATTAGTTTTATCTCTTTTATTTCTTTTCTAAATTTTGCGTTCTAATTCCCGTGATTCTTGGCTATTTTGTCAATCAGGTGTATTTATTTGTGACATATTTTTAGACGTGCATGTATAAGTCGTGAGTCGGGTATAAAAGCAGTTTCGCTAGGAGAAACCGCGCACTCATCAAAAACTTGAATTGATGTAGGGTGACGTGACGAAATAACATGTGATTTTGATCATTGGAATTAGTTGTGAATGGGCATTATTGAAACTGGGAATTGATGCAAGATTTGTATTGAAGTGCGCCCAGTGTTTCGATGTGTTCGAATTTTGATTATCAGCACTAGATTTGTGATTTACTTATTGAGACTGAGTGTGCTGCGTTCGGGATTAGTTGCGCGGTCGAGCCAAACGAAACTATTAATGTAAGTTGCATGAACTTATGTCTTAGTGTTTTTTTCAGTACATGAAGTTGTGACTATAAGCCAAATGAGTTTGAGATACATATACTGATCAAGAGACTGTTACATTGAATTTGAGAGGTTGATGATGAGCCAGCCACTTATAACTGAATTTGAGAGAGAGACTCCAGTGATACTGTGTTTGCTTTTATATGAACTTTTGTCAGATTATTAAGGTGACAATCTAATTTCTAAGCCTGATAGTGAGTTCTGGATACCGAGTAACTAGTCGATTTTGATTGTAACTAGGTGAAATAAAATAAAGAGATGTAATTGATATATGATGAACACAAATATAACTCTGATGTTGTGTTGATTTAAAGTAGTAGTGAGGATTGCGTCGAAGGTGGAGTCTACGCCACCGGAACCCAGTTATCATTGAACCCCTGACAAATTTATTTAGTGTTCCCACAATTGTGGGGGCCCCACCACAAATCCCACATTATGTTAAAAATGAGAACTGTAATAACAAGAGCCTTTTATAAATTTTTAAGCTTAAATTATGAAAGCGAACAAAAAAAAAGTAAATAGAGAACATCCGACTTTGCTGTTGATTTTAAGCATCTATAGTCAATCTGTGAATTAAGTAGAAGAGAGAGTACTGTATAGAGCTTAAGAATTCACCACATTTTGAAACATACGTTGTATTCCATGGAATGAGGCAAGTGAATATTGTCCATTAGTATAAATGGAGTTATACCTATGAACCCTTGTAACATTACAACCTAGTGAGTGAATGAATGCACTAAAGCCTCTGGTCACTTACCTTTACTGTTGTATAATCATGTATCTTACAACTAAAACCCATGGGTACAAGAAAATGCAACTTTAATGGTGTTTTCAGTACAATAGAGGAAGATACTGCAACAATAAATGTGAGTATAACAATATGCAGCATGTAGCTGATGGTGATTGTGAGCATAACAATGATGGCAGTGCAGGAGGATGGAGCCTGTTTGTATTGATTCCATATATTACTGTTAATTGCCAGATCACAATACTCCATATAATGGATCTTCAGAAGATGGTGACCAAATGAATAATTCTAAATGCCAATCTTAAACTGGCTAAGTTGAATCACATGCAAATACATTCCCTCCATTTGGATGTGAAATTATTAAGAGCAGTATTTACTACTCAATCATTAAATGAACTGTAACAGAAATGTGAGCATGGTGGTGGAACTCAAAAGCGGAAACAAGATTTGGAAGCAATGCCGAAAGATGCAATAGTGTTCGCGTCTCGAGATCATAGTTTTAGGGGCAGTGATATCCTACAATAGAAATGAGCTGTCAAAGTTTCATATTTTTGACGAATTGAATAAGTCCCCTGGATACTGGTCTATCAAAGTATTCAGCAAGAATGACTTTGGAAGATATGGTAAAAATGAAGGATTGTAATAAAAAAGAATTTATGAATTTTCGAAAGATCAAACTCTGTGACATGTAAAGGTTCTGACTTTGCTGTTGATTTGGAACATCAAGGTGAGGGGAAAATATCTGACTTTGCTGTTCATTTGGAACATCTCAACTGTTTCCATGAATTGGGAATGAAGAGAGTATACAACTTGAGGATTCACCACACTTCTGAGACATGGAGAAGATCCATTGAATAAGCCTAGTTAGAGTGACCATTGGTATAATTAGAACATTACAATCTAGAGAGTGGATGAAGCTCAATATGCACCAAACCCTTTATTTTATTTTTCATGTCTAAGTCACTTACCTTTTTATTAGTATCTGGGTGATAAGGATGATATTAAAACTGATGATATTCTCTACAAGCAAGAAGTGCAGGGTTATCTCAGTGATTTATTTATACCCAAACTTTACATAAATCACCAACTTTAAAATAT